AGATAAGCGGCGAAAAACTTCCAGGTGCAAAAATGGAAAAGCAAAGAATAACATTTTTATGCTGTGCAAATGCCTTAGGATCTCATACAATAAAACTTTTAGTAATAGGAAAATCGAAAAATCCTCGAAGTTTTAAAAATTTTATCAGTCCCGTAAACTACAGAAATTCAAAGTCTGCTTGGGTGACTTCTTCCAAAAAAGCAAAATACTTTATTGACCTTAAAAATTAACAATACGTTCACATTTTATCAAAAATCTTGTTAATTAATATCACGATTTTACTTTTTATGGTAGAAAATTAAAATATAAGATATTCTTTAAAAAGTACAACAAACAAATTGCTTTATTTTGCTAAAAATAATTGTTCAGATAAAGTTTTTTCTTAAAATTTATAAAATTTTACATAAGCAAATTACTTAATTGATTCACTGTATATATTTTTGTGGGTCTATGACCCCCATCTTTTTTGATGGTGGGTATAAATATAACAATATTTCTCTATTAAACCCATATTTTAATAAGCAAAGTGTGTTATTTCGTCAAATTTATATCATCTAAACGTTAATTATTTTAATTTAAAAGAAAATTGAAAAAATACCCTGCGACATGTCTCTTCTGCTAAAAGTGCTCTATATGTATATTATCTGTCTACAAAACAGAAACATGAAATTAAACACGTAGAGCCCGGAGTATATGGGAACCTATAAAAGGGACCTTTTTGGTACTTTTTCCTTCTTTAAAAGGTACTTTTGGAATTTTCTATAATACTGAACCTAGAAAGATCAAATTAAACATTCAGAATCCCAAGTTAATGAAAATCTGTAGGATAGGATTTTTTGTACTTGTTCATCCAATACTGAGTAGCTAATTTTTGCATTCGTGAAAACTGTTTTATTTAGTTCTCTCGTTTCAGAACTCATTTTCGCGATATTTTTTTTAACTCACCAGAGCTATGATTTCAACCCTTCATCCCTTATGTTCACTTCATGCAGTGATGCCAGGAGATTTTTTTCAGAAATCCCTACGCTTATGAGAAAAAATCCCTTTTTTCCCTACACCCACTTTTTATTTTCCCTACATTTTTCCCTACACTACTTTTTTCCATTTTTTTCAAAGTTTATCTTAAAAAAATACAAAAATAACATCAAAAACTAAAATATTAGCTCCGTTTTATAATATACATATATGTATGTATTTTTTTTAATTTTTAGGAATGAAATTTCTAGAATTTAAATTTTAATTTTTTTTCTTTCAATTTTACATCATACAAATCTTCCAATCCTGACTCTTCAGTTAAGATTAAAAAAAAAAAACAATTGAAAGATTTATGGCAGTATATCGAATCGTGATAAAAATTTATTTTATGTGCCTCCAACAAAAAAATTTTCATAAAATAATTATTTTAAATAAGGTTTACTTTTGCGTTTACTTTTTGCGGTTTACTTTTATAAATTTTCAGAACATTAAATTCATTTTTTCAATCCTGAGTTACTGCATTAAGCCCCCGACTCTATCTATAAGGAGTCAGAATATATCGCCCTACAGGATTGGCATAATCCAAAAAGTCGTTTCAAGAAAAATGGATATGAATATTTAATGACATTTAACTATTTTTTTAATAACTTTTAAACAAATCAAGGGGTTTTAAAAATCCAGATTCAGATAGTTGAGGTTAATATGTTTCTCATCTAAATTGAAATTAAATTTTTAGTTGTCTAATATTCACAAAAACGTGGGTTTTAGTTTTTACGTTTACAAAAAATCGATTTCACATCGAAAATAATAGACATATTTGAAATTTCATAAATCTATATGAAAGATTTTAGTATGTCGCATGTTTTGAAGACCTTAGTTCAAGAAAGCCGAATTTTGGATTATGCCAGTCTTGTAGCGATATGTAGGTACATATGTATGTTGTAGAAATTACAAGCGGAGTTTTTACTAACGATACACTTAAAACTGATTTCATTTTTAATTTAAAAGTTTAATACATGAAAGAGTATATTTTTAGTTGTTAAAAACTATGAAATTTAAAAATCCCTACAATTTGACAATAGTAAGAAATCTTTCCCTTTTTCCCTACACGTGAAATTTTTGAAAAAAATCCCTACAAAAAGGGAAAAATCCCTACACTTGGCATCACTGACTTCATGAGAGATATTTAAGCATTTATATATGTATATTGTCATTCCGTTTGTAACACATCGAAATATTGGTTATAGACCCCAAAAGTATATATATGCCGAATTTCACCGCCATTGATGCTTTTCTTAGGCAGTTATGGGCGATAAAGTCATTTTCTGAAGGGGACTTTATATGGGGGGTAGGTTCAATTATGGACCGATCCTTATAAAATTCTACGAAGAGATTTAGGTTCCCATAAAACATATTTGTGCCGAATTTCACCGCTATTGGTTCTTCCCTTAGCAAGTTATGAGCGATAAAGTCATTTTCTGAAGGGGGCCTTATATGAGGGCTAGGCGAAATTGTGGACCGATATTGCCCATTTTCAATACCAAACAAACTGCATCAACTAGAAGTATCTGTGCAAAATTTCAGCTCGCTAGCTGCTTCCATTTGTTTTCAACAGACAGACAGACGGACGGACATGGCTAGATTGTCTTAGAATCTTATAGGGACCCAGAATATATATACTTTTATGGGTCTTAGATGAATATTTCAATGTGTTACAAACGGAATGACAAAAACAATATACCCCCCATCTTTTTTGATGGTGGGTATAAAAATGAACAATTTTAATGTTGGGAATCCCCGAATTAATAAATACCATAGTATGCCATTATTTTAAAGGTATTTAATTCTAGTAGCTTTATGTAACTTGTTGCGGTAGGTTCGTGAATTTATTTTTAAAATTAGTGATGTCTAAAAACAGTCGAAAGTTTTTATCCTTAAATGAAAAATGAGAAATTTTGGAATATTTAAAAAAAGGATCGAGTGTTACAGTGTTAAGTAAAAAGTATAAAGCTGCAAAATCAACGATAAGTTAAATAAAAAAGACAATATTTTAAAATGTGTGAACAATACGTTTTATGGACCCGGAAAACGCAAAACATTTTCAGAGCTTCCAAAAATGGAAAAATCGCTCTATAAATGGTTTTTTGTATGCGGAATAAAAACCTCCCTGTAAGTGGGTTGAATTGAAAGAGAAAGCCAAACAAATTCACAAAACATAAGTGAAAATGGAAATGACTTCAATGCTAGCGATGGGTGGCTACAAAAATTTGAAAAGAGATACGGAATTCGGCTCCTTCAGATAAGCGGCGAAAAACTTCCAGGTGCAAAAATGGAAAAGCAAAGAATAACATTTTTATGCTGTGCAAATGCCTTAGGATCTCATAAAATAAAACTTTTAGTAATAGGAAAATCGAAAAATCCTCGCAGTTTTAAAAATTTTATCAGTCCCGTAAACTACAGAAATTCAAAGAAGTCACCCTTCTTCCAAAAAAGCAAAATACTTTATTGACCTTAAAAATTAACAATACGTTCACATTTTATCAAAAATCTTGTTAATGAATATCACGATTTTACTTTTTATGGTAGAAAATTAAAATATAAGATATTCTTTAAAAAGTACAACAAACAAATTGCTTTATTTTGCTAAAAATAATTGTTCAGATAAAGTATTTTCTTAAAATTTATAAAATTTTACATAGGCAAATTACTTAATTGATTCACTGTATATACTTTTGTGGGTCTATTACCCCCATCTTTTTTGATGGTGGGTATAAATATAACAATATTTCTCAATTAAACCCATATTTTTAAAAGCAAAATGTGTTATTTCGTCAAATTTATATCATCTAAACGTTAATTATTTTAATTTAAAAGAAAATTGAAAAAATACCTTGCGACATGTCTCTTCTGCTAAAAGTGCTCTATATGTATATTATCTGTCTACAAAACAGAAACATGAAATTAAACACGTAGAGCCCGGAGTAAATGGGAACCTATAAAAGGGACCTTTTTGGTACTTTTGGAATTTTCTATAATACTGAACCTAGAAAGATCAAATTAAACATTCAGAATCCCAAGTTAATGAAAATCTGTAGGATAGGATTTTTTGTACTTGTTCATCCAATACTAAGTAGCTAATTTTTGCATTCGTGAAAACTGTTTTATTTAGTTCTCTCGTTTCAGAACTCATTTTCGCGATATTTTTTTAACTCACCAGAGCTATGATTTCAACCCTTCATCCCTTATGTTCACTTCATGAGAGATATTTAAGCATTTATATATGTATATTGTCATTCCGTTTGTAACACATCGAAATATTGGTTATAGACCCCAAAAGTATATATATTCTGGGTCCATATAAAATTCTAAGACGATCAAGCCATGTCAGTCCGTTTGTTTAAATCACGATACGGACCACACGGGAGAAGCTAGACAGCTGAAATTTTGCACAAAAATCTTTTCGGATAGCCTCTATACAGGTGGACCCCCAAAAAACAGATTTAACGGTAATAACTCTTTAAAAAGTACGATGAAATTTGACATAAATAAGTTTTATATAAGCTAAAATCTCTCTACCAAAGTTTATGTGGATCAGTCCATAATTGACCCTACCCCTCATATAAGCTGCTTTTCTGAAAATTTTATGAGGAGGATTCAGGAAATTACTTCCTGTATATAAAATATAATAGTCTTCCAGTTTTTAACAGGTTTTTCAGTTTATTTTCAAATTGTGCGGATTAAAATTTAACAAGAAATATTTAAATTCATTGTGTGGGGGAGCATTCCTTTTACGGCATACGGTTTGATGGTGGGTATATGAGATTCGGCACAGACTTCTTTTTTTTTTCTCACTAGAGATATGATTAGAATTTGAATAAAACTCACATAAATATGTAAGATAATTAATAAATTTATTTTTTTTTACTGATCCATTGCAGATTATCTACTTGTGATGTTAATGTAAAGTAATGGAAACTTGTTGAGTGTAATAGAAAATATTTTAATCGGAATTAAATAAACGTACAATGAATCTTCAACACCCCTTAAATAACAATAATAATTCGTGCCGTTCGACAATGAATTCGAGTGACGTGTTATTACCACCCATTAACAATAATCTAACGATAAAGACAACAGCCACGGTAGAAGAAATTGCTTCAACAGCTGCTGCTATTGCTACTTCTAGTCCTAGCACCTCACCAACAAATTCCATTGTCAACCACCATCAAAATAATCATCGAAACTCTCAAAATCTTGTCACGCAAAAGTCGAATCAGGTACGTTTTAAAAAATGTCATTGATTTGACTAAAACACTTTTACACGCCAGCTTATCAGATGAAGGTTATTAATTACGACCATTGGGAATTCATCATAATTGCAAATGTACACTTTTGTTTGAAAATACATACATAACCTAAATTGCATAAACCTAAATTGCATAAAATTTAGGTTTGGACAACGAATTGTTGCAACGTTGTTAACATTACATAGTGTTGTCGTTCGTATGTATATACTTTGACAACGGTTGGTATTGAAAAATTATAAACAGTTTGGTGTCGATTTGGTACCAGGCTTGTATACAGTACTTATCGCTTATAGTCACAACCCTTAATTGCTCACAAATTGAGGACTATATCGCTAAAGTGATTATAAAAAAATTTGTTTGTATATGCCACAATGTGCTCCTAAAGAAAATCTTATATACCCAGCTAAAAATGATCATATACAGTGAACTCGCGGTAATGTGAACATCCAATATAATGAACTATCCACTAATGTGAACACTCAGTTTTTTATATGGGCGCTCTAAATACTGAACAAAGTTTAATGGCTCTAAATAGTGAACAATTTTTTTAATTTTTAGTGATTTTTTAATTTGTAGAAGCATTTATTTTTAATGTTGGGAATCCCCGAATTAATAAATACCATAGTATGCCATTATTTTAAAGGTATTTAATTCTAGTAGCTTTATGTAACTTGTTGCGGTAGGTTCGTGAATTTATTTTTAAAATTAGTGATGTCTAAAAACAGTCGAAAGTTTTTATCCTTAAATGAAAAATGAGAAATTTTGGAATATTTAAAAAAAGGATCGAGTGTTACAGTGTTAAGTAAAAAGTATAAAGCTGCAAAATCAACGATAAGTTAAATAAAAAAGACAATATTTTAAAATGTGTGAACAATACGTTTTATGGACCCGGAAAACGCAAAACATTTTCAGAGCTTCCAAAAATGGAAAAATCGCTCTATAAATGGTTTTTTTGTATGCGGAATAAAAACCTCCCTGTAAGTGGGTTGAATTGAAAGAGAAAGCCAAACAAATTCACAAAACATAAGTGAAAATGGAAATGACTTCAATGCTAGCGATGGGTGGCTACAAAAATTTGAAAAGAGATACGGAATTCGGCTCCTTCAGATAAGCGGCGAAAAACTTCCAGGTGCAAAAATGGAAAAGCAAAGAATAACATTTTTATGCTGTGCAAATGCCTTAGGATCTCATAAAATAAAACTTTTAGTAATAGGAAAATCGAAAAATCCTCGCAGTTTTAAAAATTTTATCTGTCCCGTAAACTACAGAAATTCAAAGTCTGCTTGGGTGACTTCTTCCATTTTTAAAGAATGTTTTCACAACTGTTTTGTGCCAGAGGAAAATAAACATGTAAAAATAGTTCAATTGGGATTCTTTTATTTTTCATTAGGGTGACAGATTTTTTAAAGAAGAAACGATTACCAGTAAAAGCTTTACTCCTAATAGATAATGCCCCATCCCATCCACCAGAATCCGACCTTAAATCCGAGGTTGGTTCCATAGAAGCAATGTTCATGCCTCCAAATGTAACGGCTCTGATCCAGCCAATGGATCAAAATGCAATTAGAATCACCAAACTTCATTATAGGAACAGTCTTCTGGCAACAATTATTACAAAAGAGGGGGATTTCCTTGAATCGATGAAAAAAATCACACTTAAAGAAGGAGTTTCTATTCTAGAGGCATCTTGGATCAATAATCCTTGTGAGGACGTCACGCCATTTGATGAAAATGATTTAATTGAAGAGTCCGACGATGATGACGACTGTTTTATTGAAGCGCCTGAAAATAACATTAAAGCCAAAGAAGCTGTCGAAATTTTTAACAAAGCTGTCCAATGGGCTGAATTTCAAACGGTCGATCAAACTGACATTAAAGTATTGAAAAAAAAAATCAGGGAATTGGCGGTAAATAAGCTGGTCGAACAAAAGAAAAAACAGAAAATAATAACCGATTATTTCCATATTTAATTATATATGTATGTACCTATCTTTTTTCATTGTATATTTTATTTATTTTTTGTCGTAATATTTTGTTTGTTTTTTATGTACATACTACGTATGTACTCTTTATAAAATGGATTTGTAACAACTTTTTATGTTCCAAATAAATTACAAAAATTTGTTTAGTAATCTTTGCATTTTCATTCCTTGCAGAAATGATTTTTAGAAAGAATAACTTAGTAATTCGAAAATATGAACTACCCCGACATCAATTAGTTCACATTATGGAGAGTTCACTGTATGTTCATATATGGTACCATATATGTTCATATATGAAGCTCCATATATGTTCGGATCCGAAATTTGGCGATATATGAACATATATGACCATATATGTTCATACATATTCATATATATTCATATATTTCCCCTTTCCCCATATATTTTCCCATATAAAAATATACACATATTTTTACATTAATGCATATGTACATATGCATATACATACATACAGTATGTATAATTTATTATTTTAAAATTATTTTTACGCACTCTCTAAATACATTCATAATATTATAATAATAAAAATACACAAAATTGAAAACGTTAAAGTATTAAATAAAAAAATATAAATATTTCTTAAACTACTTACATACATATTACTTATTAACTATAAACTTTCGGCGTTTAAATTCGTAGATTTTATGTGTGGCATTCAAAAGATTTTAAAATTATATGAAATCTGATTTACTTACATTTTTCAAAATTTTATCCAAATGTATGTACATACACACATATGTACATACATATGGATGTATCAGCTAGCTACCTGCCACTGTCATTTGTTCTTTGTTTAGTTTTCCATATTCATTAACAGGGATGTTTCATCTCCATGGTGTTCGGTCGTAATACCAATTATATCAATTATATTAATTACTAGCTATACCCAGTGTGCTTTGCTACCCTAAAAAAGAAATATGTATAAATAAATACCAGATTTATTATATGTATGTTACATATGAAAGATTTCAAGCAAATTATTGCAGGTTCGCCAGTTTCTATCTATCGCCAATTTCTATCTATCTATAAAAAATTTTAATAATATAAGAGTTTCCAAGATGCACGAAATTTTGTATTTAATTCATATATGTTGTGCCAAGCCACCCATTGAAAGTCCGCCCGTTATGCTCACATGAATTTCAAAGTTCTCCATGTAAAATTTGAAGATTCTAGCTCTAATAGTTTCTCAGATATACGATTTTTTCTATTTGATTCATGTGGGGGCTTCAAGACCCCCAGATGAAAGTCCTCTTTTTTTCCTCCAAAATGTTCAGATGAATATTTAAGTTCTTCGTGCGAAATTTGAAGAATTTAGTTCCATAAGTTTTCCAGATAAACGAATTTTTGTCTTTAATTAATATGGGAGGTGCCGCTCCCCTCATGGGTAGTCCGCCAATTTATTACCCAAAATGTTTACATGGATGTTAAAGTTCTTTGTGCAAAATTTTTTAGAATTTAGTTTTATTAGTATCCCAGATAAACGAATTTTTGTATTTAATTTATATGGGAGATACCACGCCCCCTAATGCTAGTCAGCCTACTTTTTGTCCTAAATGATCATATTGACACTAAAGTGGCTCCGACAATATTTGAGGACTCCAACTGTTATATTATCTCAAATATACGGATTTTATATTTTCTTAATGTGGGCGTGGCTCATCGCCCACTTGAAATTTCGAATTAAAAAGTAGCCTATTACCTATTCCAGACATGCAGGAATACGCTGTGAAAATTTCAAGAAAATCGGTTCAGCCGTTTAGTAGTCTATAACGTTCAAACATACAAACAAACACACATTCATTTTTATATATATAGATTATTTATTTTCAACCATTTTTATACCCTCCACCACCACCAGTGGTGATAGAGGGTATATATAAGTTTGTCATTCCGTTTGTAACACAAAGAAATATTCATCTGAGACCCAACAAAGTATATATATTCTTGGTCCTTATGAAATTCTGAGTCGATTTAGATATGTCCGTCTGTCCGTCTGTCTGTCTGTATAAAACACGCTCACGGTAAAACGAAACAATGGAACTTAATGAAATTCACCCAAAATATTTATTGTTATCCTAAGCAGTTTGGTATTGAAAATCAGCGAGATCGGTAGAATAGGTTCTGAGATATGAGTAAAAATTTGGGACAACCTCGAAAAAAAATGTGTTTTTTCATATATTTATTTGTACTTTTTACAAAAACTATTCCAGATAAATTGATGAATTTTGTCAGAAATACAACCCTTGGTGCCAGGATCAACTATGTTAAAAATCGGTAAAATCGGTTCACAATTTCATATACCTCCCATACAAATGTACATATTCCAGGAAATTTATTTGTTGTTAATAACTTCCGTTATAATGCCGATATCTTTACAAAATTTCACGAGTGAAAGTTTTATGCCAATAGAATTCATATAAAGAATTAATTTTCTGAATAGGTCCATAATTGGTCATAGCTCCCATATAAGATCCCCCTCCGAAAATCACTTAAACGCACATAACTCATTACCAAATAACGATATACATATCTAATTTGGCAGAAATATTGCTTTTGTATACAGAAATGTTAATGTAAGATTTGTATACGATCGGTCCGTAATTGGCCATAGCTCCCATACAAGGTCCCCTTCCGAAAATCACTTAAACGCATATTTCTCATTACCAAATAAAAATATTCATACAAAATTTGGCACAAATATTGCTTTTGTATACATAAATGATACTGTAAAATTTGTTTACGATCGGTCCATAATTGGTCGTAGTTCCCATACAATGTCCCCTTTCGAGAATCACTTAAACGCATATTACTAATTACTAAATAATGATATTCATAAAATATTTGGCACAAATATTGTTGAATTTTGTCAGACATATAGTTTTTGGTACGGTGATCCACTGTGTTAAAAATCGAAATCGGTCCACAATTTCTTGTACCACCCATAGGGACTCAAAAATGTATTATTTTTCGCAAAAAATTAAATAAAAAGTGTCCATAACGAACAGGATTTGAACTTAAGATCTCTCAGTTGCCAGTTCTACGTCATACCCACTACACTATTATCTAGCTTCGTAATTGTTTGCTATTAATGATGTTCACATAGAAATTTTCTTTCCTGTTTGTGTAAAAAATTGTTGCTAAACCACGATCAAATAAAATGTACACATTGAGAATGTGTAACTGTTTAATTTTTTATAAAAGTTATTCAGCAGCAATGCTCTGTATAAACAGGAAATAACACGGCATTTTTATATGAAAAATATTAGTTAACGAAAGACAAAATAATGATGTGGTGCAATGGATGAAATAGAGAATTAACAAACCGAGCATCGCCGGTTCGATTCCTGGTCGATTTAAATTTTTTTTGTCATAAATAATAAACATTTTTAAAAAATCCAATTAAATGTGTAACTTTTTCTAAAAACATTTGATTTCTGATTAGATTTAGATTTCATTTGTCTAAGACCCATAAAAGTATATATATTCTGGGTCCTTATTAGATTCTAAGACGATCTAGCCATGTCCGTCCGTCTGTCTGTCTGTTGAAAACACGATAGAGTCCAAATGGAAGTAGCTAGCGAGCTGAAAATTTGCATAGATACTTCTAGTTGATGCAGTTTGTTTGGTATTGAAAATGGGCAATATCGGTCCACGATTTCGCCTAGCCCCCATATAAGGCCTCCTCCAGGTAATGACTTTATCGCTCATAACTTGCTAAGAGAAGCATCAATAGCGGTGAAATTCGGCACAAACAAGTTTTATGGAAACATAAATCACTTCGTAGAATTTTATAAGGATCGGTCCATAATTGACCCTACCCCCCATATAAAGTCCCCTTCAGAAAATGACTTTATCGCCCATAACTGGCTAAGAGAAGCATCAATTGCGGTGAAATTCAGCACAAACATGTTCTATGGGAACCTAAATCTCTTTGTAAAATTTTAAAAGGATAGGCCTATAATTGACCCTACCCCCCATATAAAGTCCCTTCAGAAAACTACTTTATCGCTCATAACTGGCTAAGAGAAGCATCAATAGCGGTGAAATTCGGCACAAACATGTTTTATGGGAACATTAATCTCTTTGTAAAATTTTATAAGGATAGGCCTATTATTGACCCTACCCCCCATATAAAGTCCCCTTCAGAAAATGACTTTATCGCTCATAACTGGCTAAGAGAAGCATCAATAGCGGTGAAATTCGGCACAAACATGTTTTATGGGAACATTAATCTCTTTGTAAAATTTTATAAGGATAAGCCTATAATTGACCCTACCCCCCATATAAAGTCCCCTTCAGAAAATGACTTTATCGCTCACAACTGGCTAAGAGATGCATTAATAGCGGTGAAATTCGGCACAAACATGTTTAATGAGAACTTCAATTTCTTTGTAAAATTTTATAAGGATAGGTCAATAATTGACCCTACCGCCCATATGAAGTCCTCGTCAGAAATTTTATTGCCCATAACTGGCTAAGAGAAGCATCAATAGCGGTGAAATTCGGCAAAAACTTGTTTTATAAGAACCTAAATCACTTCATAAAATGTTATAAGGACCGGTTCATAATTGACCCTACCCCCCATATAAGACCCCCCTTTAATGCTCTTATCTGACGTTAAGAAACATATATACATACATATATATAGCAATAAAATTCGACATAAAAAAGTTTTATAGGAACTAAAATCATTTTCTTAAATTTTATGAGGATGGGTCCATAAGTTTATTACTGACGCGAAAATGCGAGTACAGCAGTAAAATTCTACATAAACAAGTTTTGTGCGAGCCAAAAATTCTTTATCAAATTATATATATAAGGATCGGTCCTTATTTAACCCTATCCCCCTTGTAAGGTCCCCTTCAGAAAATGACTTTAAAAATCATTACTAGCTTAAAACTGCAAGTGCAGCGATGAAATGCTTAAACCCTTATTAAAGGTCCTCTTCCAAATATTTCCCTGATGTTCATATTAATATCGACATATGATTCAACATAGATCGATAATATCAGAGTTTATTTATAAGGATGATTTGATGGTGGGTATATAAGATTCGGCATGGCCGAATATAACACTCTTACTTGTTTTTAATTGCATATGTAAGGCGTAATGAAAGTAAGTGTAAAATGTTAAGGTAAATTTGAATCAATCCATAAAAT